ACTGCCATGGACAAAAGCAGACTGCAGTGTGTCATTCACTCTGCTGAGAAACTGATTGGCTGCAATCTGCCACCTCTTCAGGATCTGTACACTTCCAGGACCCTGAAGCGGGCAGTTAAGACTGTGGCTGACCCCTCTCACCCTGGACACAACCTTTCGAGGCACTCCCCTCAGGCAGGAGGCTGCGGTCCATCAAGACTAAAACCTCACGCCACAAAAACACTTTCTTTCCATCTGCAACTGGCCTCATCAGCAACACCCAGGACCCACCATGCTCTCTTATCCGCCTCCATGGACATTGCTATTACACATTACATTAACAAAAAACCCACTTTTCTGTTTCATATGCGTTACCTTAACACACACAACCCAGACTGCTATACTGCACCTTCTTACTTCAAACTGTGAGCATTTGCACTGGCCCACTTTTGCACATCCTGCACTAGTGTACAGTTAATGTCTCTATTTTTATTTTATTTTCCTAAATTTTTATATTTCAATATTTATGCTCAAAGTTGTTTACCTTATTAACTCATTTTTCTTTTTATTTCTTGTATTTTCCTGTTATACTAAGCCCCAGTACACTAAGACATAAATAAATAAAGGTGATCCTGCTTCTGATTCGATGCAGCCGCTCATAGGAGAGTAGTAAAAGGATGCGCGAGAGGTAAACTGCCTCGTGCACCTTAGGATGAACTACTGCACAGAATTACAACTTTCCAAAAAAAATGATTATTACAGATGAATTCTCATTTCAGCATGTGGAAAAAGTAAGCTAAGTATGTTTTACACGAGTCTCAAAGCGAGGTGTCTGCCTCTCCTGTGTCCTGATCAGCTTGATCAGTAAGGGAAACGTGACAGTTTATGGTCTTATGGCTGGATCTGTGTCCTGTTGTGCAGCAGGGGACATGTCCTCCAGGTCAACATGCCGTTTAAAAGCAGAAAGACGAAAGCAAAATCCACCAGATCCACCCAGCTGATGAATAAAGAAGCCTATCCAGCTGTTAGAAATACACTTACCATGTTGCAGAGCTATTGCTGATCGGCTGGAGGGAATAACTGAGTGAGGAACAGGAGGAAGAAGGTGAAGAGAAGTGAAAGAAAAGACACAAAGTCCGTGTCCTGCTTTCCAGGCTGCTCTGATTCGCGCTTCCTTGTTGCTGTTTCTCCGCCAGAGGGAGACGGATGATAAACACAGCGCGTTTACACCACAAACACCTCTGTAGTGAACCCTCCTTCCCCTTGTTCCTCTTATTCACGTGCTGAGTGTGTATCCTAATCATTACACCTGACTATTACATGCTGCACTTCTACAGTGAATAAAAGATACAAGGACATACTTTTATTTACTCAAAGAGACAACCATCTGCCAAACTATTCTTTTTACATACCATTGTTTCTATAGGAGCACATAAAGACATAAACATGTCATTTGCATTACCTTCTAAGCAGTCAAATCCAAGAATTCAACAGCCTTATGCTATTACAGAATATAATATTCAAAGTGTATGATTTTTTAATATTGTTGTATGTTTAATTTTTTTTTTTAATCAGTATATGTTACCTTTTACATGCCTTTAGCTAGAGTCAGTTCCTGTTGTTAAAGTATAATTTTGAGAAACATAATCCTTAATCCTTAGCTATAATAATGCTAGGCTTTCTCACTGGAGTTCAGAGTAAATAGCACACATGTGTAATATATATCTTATTTATTTCTCTTTTTATTTGTTTCAAATCTGAATAATGTATAGGTCTGATCTAAAGGATCACTGAGGACGCAGCTTGTTTAAGGAGCAGGGCGCTAGGCTCTGGGTGAGGGTCTGACTCTGCCGAGACTTGTTTTGTTTTAAATTCCTGACTGTAAGGAGTCACCCTTCCAATCCCCTTCTATATTTTCACTATTAAATTTAGTTTTATTTGAATTAATATTGGGTCATTCATTTTAATGATCCAGTGTTTTATAATGTATTATTCTTCTTTTACTGAATGGTTTTATTTCTTGTTTTAACTGACTTTTTTTTTTTTTTTTTTTTTTTTTTTTTTTTTTTTTTTTTTTTTTTTTTTTTTTTTTTTTTTTTTTTTTTTTTTTTTTTTTTTTTTTTTTTTTTTTTTTTTTTTTTTTTTTTTTTTTTTTTTTTTTTTACTGTTTTATATAACTGTCCTTTTTGTAAAGCACTTTGAACTGTTTTTGTATGAAAGGTGATAAATAAAGATGATGATGATTATTATTATTATTATTATTATTATTATTATTATAGTGGAAATGATTACACAATCAGAAACCCTTAACGGTTATTTGTGGAACCCTACAACAGAATGTTTCTCTATCAAAAGGGCTCCAAACTAGAACCTTTTCAGGACGTGTAGAAGCCACAACTATATAAAGAACAAGCATGCAACAGAGGGTATCAGAGAAGATTATTAGGAAGTCAAGAACTCTTGACAATCCAAAATACCATGAAGAACCATTTGTTGTACCTGTATAACACACACACACACCTTACTTTATTTATCTTTTTACTTGTTTGAAGGTTGAATAAAGAAGCATTTATAGGCCTGATGTAATGTGCTTTAATTTAGCAATCATTTTGCTTTCAGGTTACAGATATGGTCTGAACTGGAAGTCAAAATACCTCAGTGAACATGCACTTAAATGAAGAATGAATGAAATTAAATGAAAATGATTACATTGTCAAAAAACCCTCGAAGGTTACCTCTATTAAGTGTTCTTCGGTTGTCTCTATTCGCAGACTACAAATATAGTCTGGAAACTAAAATATTTCAACTAATGAACACTTAAATAATCTGTAATGGCTTGTAGTTGTAATGGTTGACCTATAAGAATTATACATAGAAAGTGTATGTATATATATATATATATATATATATATATATATATATATATATATATATATATATATATATATATATATATATATAGTGTCACTTGCATTGAGATCTCCTTGGACTTCATAGTGGTAGCTCCAGTTGAACGGCTGCCAAATGCCAACTCAATACCTGATATCAACTCCAGACCTTTTATCTGCTTCAGATAAGTAACGAGGGAATGGACCACACCTGGTCAGTTAACGTCTTCTCAGTCAACTGTCCAAATACCTTTGAGCCCCTGAAAATGGAGGTACTTTGCTTAAAATGGCTGTAATCCCTAAATGGTAAATGCCATATTTTTGTGGAACCTCTTAAAATAAAGCTGAAAGTCTACACTT